GCTGGGATTAAGCTTGGTGCTTCCTCTTTGTTTTTTTTTTGTTTTCTTTGTTGTTAAAGAGTAATGGAAAGTTTTTGAATACTGAGAAGTGAGTTTGTGGAATAAATCAGAGATTGATTTATGAGTTATTGATTATGTAATTGGAGTACTGAGTGATTGAATTATATGAGAAGTTATTGGAAGATTGATTATGGATGGAAGATTATGATTGTTGTTTATTGAGAGTTGTATGTGTGTGTTTCAATAAAGAAAGTCTATGATTACAAGAATTCTATGAATTCAGATTGGTTGGAGTGAAGTCTGTTTTTTCTGGTGTTGGATGGAATTTATTGAATTTTGAACGGTCTTTTGAGAGTGCAGGGTTGCACATTGTGGTTATCAATTGATAAAGGAGTATTGTTACTGGGAGGAAGCATTGCAGTGTTTCTTAGTGTTTTAGTGGTTCGGAATACAGTTAATTGTGTGACCCTAATAAGTGAAACTCATGCGCTTAGTCTTTCCCTATGTTCGAATTCCCCTATGCAGATTTATTCTAGAAAGAAATTGTAAAATAAGTAAAATGACAATCACAGTATGTCCATGTCAATAGATGAGAAACTTTGTCAACAAGCTAACTACATGCTACATGTGTTGGTAGCTTAGAAATTATATCAAATTTTTTTTTACTTTCATGGCTTTATAAGTTTGTATTACTAAATCAACAAAATGTCATTCTTAGTATTTATATAGTTTTATTACCTTTCTTACTAAGCATTGACATTATAACTTCATGAAATCATTTTTTAAAATAATAAAATAGATGATAAATTTAGATTTAAATTACTTAAATTTAGATATACTAAGCATGTTATTATTAAATTTGAACACTTAGTGTGGTTTTTTATTAAATAAGATTGTATATATATATATATAATTAATTGCAGTACATCTTTGCACTACTATTTACATAAATAAATCCATTTCGTTGATTTTTTAAAGTCTTGTATACACCATGCATTTGCCAAGTCTATTACATCATGTTTTATTGTTTGATAATAGTAGTAGGAGCTTTAAATGGAATTTCTATTAGAAGAGACTTTTAGTAAATATGTTTTTTTAATTTATAAACTCTTTATGGAAAGCCATTTTAAAAGAGCACCTTCTATTAGTAGATTTTTTATACAAAGAGTTAAGAAGTCATCTTGAAAAGGCACCTATGTTGAAGGATCTTTGAGATATTCTTCAACAAAAGGTAATATTCTATTCGAAGATCAAAAACTCTTTTTTGTTGCCATCAAAAATCTAAAGGATCTTCTATTTAAATTTTATTCAAACTCCAAAAATATTATTCCAAAATTAAGCTATTTTATAGAAGTAGTTAAATATGTCATATTTTTATTTGGTCTCAAATAAATATATGGTTTTTTATAAATTTATATAGATTTAAATTTGTGATAATTAAATAATAGTAACATCACCAAAGATTAAGTATATTAATAAAAAATAAGCACTTACAATATGTCAACTTTGTTGACTACTATAAGAAATATCTAAAGTAATGTATCACAAAAATATAAAAATAGCAAGTATTTCTTTAAAAATAATTATATAAATTAATTAATTTTATTATATTATATTTTAAAATAATAACTTTCATATTTAACATCTATCATATTTAATAAATTATATCAATGTAAAATCTATTTTAAAATAATATATTAAAAAATATCTAATATAATGCTAAAAAATTCATCAAAATAAAAATAATAATCCAAATTATGTATAGAAATCTAAAGTATTATTGCATAATTTTTTAATCCTATAAATGATCTCAATAAAATTTAATATTTAAAAAAAAAATCTATACTTTTCAATTATTGCTGCTTATTCTAACAATGTAAAACTTATAAACAATAACATATTTATTATATCATACAAAAACTAGAAGATATAATATTATGTGAAAATATAAATTATTGAAAAATATGCAAGTATATATATATATATATATATATATATATATATATATAAATTAAATTTATATTTTTATATATAATATTTCAGATTTTGGTTTTAAAAATGAATTTAAAAAAGAATAAAAAATAATAAAGAAGACAACTTATAAGTTTGTGTAATAAAGTTCATGTTTATTAAGATTTGTTGATTATTTTAAAGTATTTATCAAAAACATTCAAGTGCTACTTTACAATTAGAAATAATTATTGAAGAGAAAATAGAACATGAAAATGCAAAAAAAACAATTATAAAGTTGTATGTTTAAAAATGGCTTTCAATAAAAAAATTGTTCAAAAACAGCTCTTTAAAAATGGTTTTTTAAAGTTATAGTAGTCTAATAAAGAAAATATAAAATAATTACAAGAATCTCAAATATTTTATATACATTTTTATCTAAATTATTTACTAAGCCTATTAAAAATATTTTTAATGTGTTTAGTTTTTAATATTTTGCATTGTCTTAAGGAAACAAATTACTAAATATTGTTTTGAGATAATTGTATCTTATATATAATTTTTTTATATATAATTAGTAAATAATTATTTTTAAACAATAAATTACAACTTCTTTTGATTTTGTTTCCAAACATTTAATGTTCATTCTAAATGTATTTATAAATTATTTTATGTATATTAATATATTTTTTTTTGATAAAAATCAAAAATCATATTTTTTATTTTTTATTTTATTTTATTTTATTTTATTTTATACAAAATTTCTAAATAGAATAGTTTATACATATTTTTGTACATCAAACACAATCATATTCTATTAAAACAAGATGCAACTTCCTAACTACAAAATATTTTGGAAACAACTTTATTGTAAAATTTAATTTGGAAAACCTCGAAATTCAAAAATCTGAAAATATTTTAAAGTAATTTTGAAATTTTATAAGGTTTTTCTTAGACAAATATTTTCTAAAAAGAAACATATAAAATTTTTTAAACAAATATAAACAATTCTTTAAATATATTTCATTACAAACTTATATACTCCAAATATTACTTAATATAAATATTTTATTTTTACCTAATATAAATTCTTGAATCATTCAAGAAATTTACAAATTTATAAAAAATAAAATAAATTAAAAATATATCAATAAAATCCAATTATATTGATAACTAACCATTAATAATAATAATAATATGATAGAATATAGTAGAATATAGCAAATTAAATAATATTTTTTTAAACAATTTTATTTCTATAAATATATATATATATATATATATACTTAATAATTATAAATCAATAATTATCAAATTTATCTAAAATAAATTACTTATATTTGTAAAACCTTTATAATACCAAAAGTAAACTTGAAATTCTTGAGAAATATATATTTTTTTAAATAAATCGTAGAATATAATGAATCTAGTTCCACAATTTTAGAAGCATGTCTTAATGCTTGGTGATATTTCTAGAGATAAGTACTATTGACTTACTAAAAAATATATAATATATTGCATATGCAGTCATGCTTGATATAGTCTAGATGGTGTAAATTAGGACTAACAAAATAGATTAACTATATTTTAAAGTTGATTTTAACAAGGTTGACTATAACAAGCATTGACTGCATCTGGCTTTTTGTGCAAGTTTGAGTAGATTCATATTCTTCACAAGTTGCAGTAAGTAGATTTTTATTGGATAAAAAAAAATCTAATAAAAAAAAATCTAATAAAAAAAAATCTAATAAAAAAAAATTAAAAATTAAAAAAAACAAAGACTTTTCAAATCTTTTGAAGGATATTACAAAAATTTAAATAACTTCTATTCAGTTACATTTAGAAACTTAATAGTTTTGTGTAATAATTTAATAGGTCCTAAATTGCCAATGCATGATGTAAATTTAAAAAACAATTCAAGTTTTTTTTAGAAAATTATTTTCTAGTACTTAAAACAAGTGCAAAAGTAAATCATTTATGCTAAGTTGAAAACGATTTTATTATATATTTTTACACATAAAATAGTAGAGTAGAAATCGATGGAGTATTAAATAGATTGAGTAGAATATTTGATTTAATATTAAAATTAATTTGTAAACATTTTAGGAGTATCATAAAAAAATTGGAAGTGAACTAAAATGTAATTATTTTAAATAGCAGCACAGATTTATGAAAATTATAATAAGAATGACACTTAAGGTAGTTGTGCCACAAAATTCTAAAGCTTTTTTTTGTCATTTCTTGTCCAAGCAAAAGATTTAAGAATTTTCTAAGAAAATCTTGAATTTTTTTTAATTGAGGTGACTTTACTTCAAAAAAACAAAGGAAATATTTTAGTCTGTTTTTAAAAAATACATTGAGAAAAGAAAAGAAAAGAATGTATGTTCATATATATATATATATATACATATATTTGCAAAAACACTTCTGATGCTTAAAATCAATAATGAATCCTCTAATTGTGTTAAGATGTATCCACTATGTACGGAAACTCTTCACAAGTTTTTCTAAATTGTCAAAGCACCGTCAAGTTACAACTAAATGTTATGAAAAGCAAATCAAAGCCTAGTACTCCAAGCCAACCTGAAAATCTTCGTTTAAAGCACATCCAGAATCTAGTAATAATATAGCAATGAGCATGCAAATAGAGTTTTTATTAACTTCATCGATAATTCCCATATTTAATTTCGCTGTATCTGCCACTTGTTTGCACTTCAATTAACTCTAAATTGAAATGACAAGGGCTGTTGGCAGAGGTTAGGAGATTATGGTGTTAATTTCTTTGGTAGTTCATTGGTCCTGATCACATAAACAATGACACTTTCAAAGAGTGCTTACTGCAGCACTAACTTCTCAGGTACAAACCTAGTGCCCTCACTGATACTTAGTATACACAACCATGTTCACCATACAGTGCTGGAGTATTATTACATTGGATGTCTTCTTACTCTAACCTACAAAAGGGCTTGCAGTTGGGGGGGGGGGGGGGGGGGACTCACATGATACACAGCAGATCTGAAATGGTTTGTTAACAATTTGTCGAGCGTGAATAGGGCAGCAAATAATAATAATAATAATAATAATAAAATAAAACGATGGTGGGTGAGCCGGTGATAATTATAAAACACTACCAAAAAGATATTCACCAGACACTTGAAATTTTTCAAGAGAATTTAATTGATTACAAGCTGTTATTGTAAAATGCTGATCAGCTGCTAAAACATGCAGTGAGAATCCCACATTGTCACGTTCTCATGCGATCCTGCATCACATGAATTGGACCTAAGAATATGGAACCAGCTGGACTTTGTAGTCCTACAAAATGAGACATGCACTAATAACATGTTAAGGCCAGATACATTACTGTTGAAAACACGTATACAACACAATGCATGAGAAAGTTCCCCAGAGTAGGATATCATGCCTCAGAGCACCTTGTGTAAAACGATCGATTGATCCACCTTCACATTCATGCGTATAATCCCACAAGTACAAATCCTAATCCACATTAACAACCTCAGATTGCAAATGCATGTAAGTATCAGTGAAGAACCAAGTTTCATACCTCGATAAAAATCCAGGGTCTGCAGTTAATGAGGTCTCAGACTGGAATGTGTATAATATAGAACATTAATTCGCCTGGAAGAAATGCTTTGCAACCGCCTGATAAAGCTGATGTTCATCAAAAGGCTTAGCCACATAGCCATCCATACCACAACGCATACATTCTTCTGATGTTGCTTGAATAACGTCCGCTGTCATGGCCAAAATTGGTACATGAAATCGGACTCCAAAGGTTGGCAAACCCGCTGCTAGCCACTGGTCTGCGGCTAAAGTTTCTGCTTTCCTTATCAAACCCGTTGCTTGAAAACTGCCATGGGACACCCAGTTGGATACTCGGCAATTAATGCACGGGCCAACTCATCATTAATGCAAATTCGACAACTGCTAAGTCCACGTTCCAAAATTGAAAGGGTCTTCTGATTGGTTCAATCACTTAAGAGATGTCCAAAGCAGGACAAAATCTTAAAAAAAATTCTAGAATCTCGTTTTTAAAAAGTAAATGATTTATTGTTGAATGTTTGCACCCATTAGTTTAAATACACACAACGAAAATCTCATTTTGCATTAGAGTAGGGGACAAAGGAGATGCTATTTGAGTTTGACTGAGCTTCATGAAAATCAGTGCATCAGGAGTAAGATGCTCTCAAGAGCCTTCACTAAATATTAAGCATGAATATATGTAGTAAGGAAGAAACCATACCCATCCATTTCTGGCATTTGCACATCCATGAAACACGCATCAAAGTTGTGAGGAGGTTTTAACTTCTGGATTGCTGCTCTTCCGCTGTGAACACACTCAACTTGAGCACCATACTTGTTGAGAGCCCCGGCTGCTACCTTTCGATTCACGGGATTATCATCAACCACTAGAATTCTTTTTCCAGATAAGAGGTTCTGAAGAGAATTAACTCCACCCCGTAACTCCTGCCCTGGGTCCCTCCCATCTCCCACTCCAAGAATCTGCTTAAGGCAAGCAGCCACCAAACTTGCTCGAAGAGGTTTTCTAATAACAGTATCCACAAATCCACTAGCCTTCACCATCTCAAGCTCCAGCCCATTCATCGATGTCGCAACTAGAACCATCTTCTGCATAGAATGAACCTGAAATCCTATGGGGAGCCTGCCTGCTGTTAACCGATACTGGTAACTTGCTCGTGCATTGTGGTAACTCGAGGGGGACTCCATGTAACATTCAGAAAGAAGAGACCGAAAATTCATCCCAGTTCCTGGACCCCATGCATCCTTATCTACAAAGATCATTTCGATGTCCGCAGAAATGGAGCTGGAATAATGTACAAAATCAAACTCAGGTGAGTACACTAACATTGAAATCCAACACACAATTCTGAATGAATAAAAATAGATAGAAAAACATTAATTTTCTTACGAATTTAAAATTAAGGCTTTCAACCTAACCATTTGAAAGTAGATAAATAAGCAATTAAAGAATGTAGATCTGAAATTTCGACAAGACGACGTTGTGTCTAGGAGTAAATAAATCAAGCTATAGGTTTTTGACCATTAAGAATGGATTGCTTCATCCAGCACGACAGGCTAATACAGTCCGGTAATGTCGATATGTAAAATGAAAGCACTGGCAGGACGCAAGAACTATTTTAACAGACTTACCCACGCGAATTACGAGTACCGCGAGAACCGCGGTTAACCACTGTGGTGAGAAGCTCAGCAGCCTCAGGAACGGAGTGGGCGACCTCAACCTACTCACCAACCAAGAAATCTAGTTAGCAGCAGGGACCTCGACAGCTCCAAGACATTCAACTTAAGTACAAAAACGCATGTACATGGTCATCAATTCAAGATCTGGATGTAGACATGATACATCCACGAGAAAGATCCACAATACGAATAGATTCATGTGTGAGTCTGCTAAAATCTACTTGCACAAGTCAATGAAAATGCAGGATAAACCATCAGAGCATTCAGATTTCAGTAATAATTCTACTAATTTTCTTTGGGCACAACAATTCAAGGAGCCGTACTCTTCGATGACGGAACAATTTAGACAAATTTTCTAACCATACTCAAAGACCAAGCTCGACATCGATCTTAGACAACAGGAAAACCTGCAAATTAGGCTTCACATCAAAGAATGTTAGAAAAAAATAGATATACTTTACACAAATCAATACCTGTAGACCAAGCCTTTTCAAATGATGACGCGTGACTTCACAACGGACTTGTCTACCATCCACTACGAGTACACGCATGCCTTGAAAACAAGTAGGTAATGGGGGCGTTTGTAACAGGCAATTGCTGCCTTCTCTTAATATGCTCTCTGGTACATTTGCAGGTACTCGTTGAAATTCTGCGGTAAATGTGAAAGTAGATCCCACCCCAGGACTACTGACAAAGTCCATCTCTCCAGACATAAGCTCCACTAGGCATCGGCTTATGCTTAGTCCGATACCTGTGCCTCCGTAGGTTCTTGATGTTGAGCTGTCGGCCTGCAAATGAGTGAGGGAAGACCTTCAATACACAATTTTTAACAGAGTCGCAAACATTTCCCACAGTACTCTAATAATCTAGGGCTACATGTTGATCAAAATACGCCGAAGGTACCAGATTGTGCAGCACCCTATTCTCACAAAAAATAGAAAATGTAATTATAATTCATGGTGTGGGAATTAATTGATGATGCGAGGAGTTAGATATTTCGAAGAACTTGAAGGAAGACTAGTTTATATTGTTTAAACGATATCTCTTATAAAACGTCCATCCAGAGTGAGAGTAATTGAGTCAATCTTACCTGCATGAAAGGTGTGAATACACGGTCTTGTACATGCAAGGGTATGCCAACACCAGTGTCCTCTACACTAACCACCAGTTCTACAACATCATTCGAATCATAATTCCATGTCTCACGATCTCCAGCTGACCGATATGACTGTTCTTGAGTAAGCAGTCGCTCAAACATCTCCCAGCTATTTCGGAGGTCAGCAGTTTCTCTGCCACTAAGAGTATTGAACTGATGCCCCTTTTCAATAAGAGGTCTAGCGCTTTCAACCTCCCCATCTAGAGTGTCATCGGCATCACCTCCATCCCAACCCATTACCATATTTACATCTTCATTCAGATGGACGCAAACAAAAATATGACCTGCTTCAGTAAACTGAGATGGTGACCAGAAGGTTAAAATCCATGCGCACAACGGTTCAAGAAAATTTACACCTTTAGAATCGTAATTTCATGAGTCATGATTACCAAAATAGACGTACTTCGATGGAAATTTCAACTATACACAACAGTATTTTCAAGTATTTGAAAATATATTCACGTCAGGTTTGTGAATGAACTTCGGGAAAAGATTAAAAAAACATTGCGTAAAAGATGCTTACTTTGATAGAATTGCCAACGAGATTAATAATTATCTGCCGAAAGCGACCTGGGTCGCCAATGAGAATTTTTGGGACCTTCTCAGAGACGTAAACTGCCAACTGCCCATGATCAATTGACACCCAAAAAGTGAATGAGAGCTGTGTAGACATAAATTTTCCTGGATCTATTATTCCATCATACCCATTCGAGCCAAGTAAAACTTTATGTTTTCTGCCTTGAAACAGACACGTTTCTAATGTGGAAACACCACCGCGCCCAATTTAACCACAGATATAGATAGGTGGATCTTGAAACACACCTCAATGCCTGAAGCTCTCGACTTTCCATGAAAGAGAGAGAGTACATCGTCAAGGATAGCACGTAAATCGAAGGGGACATGCTCAAGCTCCAGACGGCCTGATTCAATCTTGGCCTGGTCTAGAACCTCATTAATTAGGGTGATGAGTGCTTTGCCACTTGCTTGAGCAGTTCTAGCATAGTCTAGCTGCGTCGAATTCAAAGGAGTATCCATCAACATTTGAAGCATTCCTGCATCACAGCAATATAATTTCGTTAATGAAGTTTAATGTTTTATTCACAGTGATCTAAGTTCGTCAGAAATATTAACACAAACAATGAAGATAGATTGCAGGACACCAACCTAGAACACCGTTCATGGGCGTCCGTATTTCATGAGAGACAGTTGCCAGAAACTGCACAAGATCATTAGGAAGGTAGTCGTTAAATAACTAATATCCTCATAAATATCAGTTTTTATGAGGATATTAAGGAACTAATTTAAAATACTAACACCAAAGTCTTATGACAGGGCACAACTCATGAAAATTTTTCAAGCTTTTGAAGTGAAAAACCTGAGATTTCGCTATGACAGCATCATCTGCCCGCATCTTGAGCTCCTGGAATATCCGACAATTTTCTTCTACCTTGTCAATCCGGTTCCTAGATGCATGTAACATGTGTCCGACCAAAAACGCTATCACAAATATGCCTATTGATGTGGAAATGGCTGTCCAAGGAGGTAACGCATCTTCTTTAAACCTGCAACAGAAGTTCTCATTAGTTCACCACTTCACGTCTCTACTGACTACGGTCTGTCGTCAGTCCCTCTCTGCTTTACTAATCGTCACTTCAAAAATAAATGCACAGTTGGAATCTATCTGTTCCATGAAAAGTCTATTAGGAACGTTGTTGCAAGTTTTGACTATGACGACGGCAATTAGCACACGCACATTCGCTATCAACTCGGAAAAAACCGGGAGAATACGTGTTTCGTTTCTCTGAAGTATCTTGAAGGAGAACACATCAAAATATCCATCCCTTAGCAGCCCCTTGGAAAAACACGCCTGCAACTATCTATACAATCATCTAGTTGCGCGTGAATGTAACTGGGTTCCCTCAGTGTAAATGAATGGCAGATCGTTCACCATTCCATTTCACCACATTAATAACCACTGTAAGTCACCATCCGGGATTAAGTCACGCACCTGCACCGCATTTCATGATTGCGTAATGGGTCTCCGAAGTCCAAAAGGCTGACATACGTGTTATCCGATCTTTCAACATTAGTATGGCCATACATTACAAGAGGCATTGTGTCGTTGGTGATGTCGTATACATTTACCGCAATAATCTGGCTACCAGCCATTTGACGCAATAAATTCTCCACAAGAGTTTCGACGTCAAATGCACCTCCGAGATAACTGCGACAGTCATGAATTCCTAGAAAGTTAAGGCATAGCTTCCATGTGATAGTACATGAGGTTCTTGAGGATTCCATATACTGCACAAGAATAATTCTGTTTCCAATTTGTAAACTGCTTTACACTAGAACAAACTAATCACACTTAACCAAGAATGAGTATCGGAAAATAAGGAATGTTTGAAGTACCCGGCAGTTGCTTTAATTCGATCTTCTTTCGTTGCATCAAAGGGTAGGTCAGTGGAGTAGACAGCGAAAGTGAATACAACGCCGAGATGCTTCGATTCTAGTAACCTGAAGGGATTGGTTAAAGCGCCCTTCCCAGACTCTCGTGCCCGGATAATATTCTCCCGGTCCTCCTACAAAAACAAGTCAAAAAATAGACCAAGAGATCTTCAATCATTCGATCACAAAATTCACATGAATACGGTACCACAATGAGACCGACTGTTTATGCGATTCATTTTAGAATCACTGCGAGAAGATTTGAATCACCAAAGCGGTGAGCAAACACCCAAATGTTTGGGGATATTTATCCAGATTGATTGCAATATTCGAGCATGGCTAGACAATACGCAACAAGAAACAGCTAGACAGGAAAAATTCTTGTGAAAGTGAGAACCCTTATCCCAAAGTACACGTGAGCGTGTTGTGAGGCAAAACTTGTCTCATTTATGGACTCGGTCAAAATACACATTGCACCACAAGTCTCTTTAGCACTTGGGCACTCTAGCAGGTAAAATTGGGACGAAAAAGTAAACAAATCTCGAAAAACTTAAATTGAAAATACCCGGAAAGACGATCACAAACCTGACCAGACATCATGTCGAGTGAAGTTAAGTAAAAAACGGTCTCTTGAGACATTGTAGTTGGAGCATATTCATCAAAATCTTGTTGTCGTTCTTTTGAGAACATTTCCTTGATAGTCCAACCATGTGTCAACTCAAACATTGCTCGATTAGCATGAAGCACTCTTTCAGCATATGCAACGCCACTCATCAAAGGTCTCTCAAATGCTGTTCTTGCAGCATACGTGGCAAATGTTTCCTGCATTCAACCTTTCATGAATGAATACAAGCATGCTTTGCAAATCATGGAAATATCAACACTCATGCACTCTTGATTGTCCACAGCTGCAGTTTCATCGAACCTCCGATGGCAACAAGGTCAAAAGCGTAGTTAGTCACCTGATTAATTGCTGAAGGTTGCTTGCCAAGATGAAAAGTAGTGAGAAGAGCAGTAAGAGCTCTCACATGGTTCATACTTGCCTTAAATTGGTCCTGCAATACAATTTTGCACTAGACGTATAAATCGGAAGTTTATCACGCTTGCCTCAAATCGTAAATGAGGTTATTTCTTGCAATCTCTTAACTAAAATTGTCAATAAACTTGCGAGCAAGCTGTTCACTTCAGGGAACAGAGGACCTCAGATTCCTGCAAGGCTGAGTACCTCATTAGATCATGACTAGTGAAAGACTACCACTAAATGTTTCGGGCACAACTTTTTCCATCCTGTAAATTGAATGTAACTTAAACTCGGATTGTCTGTATTCATGAAATTATAAAACCTAATACAGACATGAAACATGAAAAGAGTGGTTGAGAAGGTCTAGGAAGCAAACGAAGAATGCACTGTACCTCAAGCATACGAGCCCGTCCTTCGCACATGTTTGCAAGATTTTCCCTTCTCCGTTCAAGCATGTCAAATCTCATTGCGAAGTAAACAGATAGAGAGACAGCGCCCATAAAAACCACCCAGAAAACGAAAACCTTAGTGTGCCAATTGTGGCCATACCTAGGCCCTGCTTTGGAATCATTGTACGTAGGCCTGACATATGTGTTTCCTGAGTCATTCCACCACTTTACTCTAAGCCGCCCAGGCCCTGTGGTTCTATGCATGTATACTCCACTTCCACACTTCAGCGGGACCTTTGACCTAGAGCTCCCATTTGATATGCAGGGGCTCGATTCTGAGCCCCTCCTAGCTTCACTTCTGACTCCGCTCCTGGCTCCACTCTGGTTCGACATTTGATTGCTATCGGGATTGATCAACTGTTTTCTTTGTCTCATTCCAAACGTTCAATATACTTTCGAGTCTGTGCTCGACCAGAACTTCCCATAGTTTCAAGTTGGAATCTATTATAGCTCGTAATGCTGAAGACTATCCAGAGATGAAGGTTCTGGTGCTATTTATCCGAGTACGAAGTACGGAATTACAAAACTATCGCTGCATAGAGGAACATGAAACACAGCTGAAATGTAAGGAATGGATGTGTATGCACGAATAGCTCTATGGATGATCACGACAGTACTTGTAAATGTACCATTAATAAGAATGAGTCGGATAGTAAACAAATTCCCTCACATCAGGAAAAAGCAGCCTATTTTGTCTGTCAGCAAGCTCTTGCAATGAGAATCATTATGGCAAGCTCCCTTCACTCTGAGTGGTGGAAAACGCTTTCATCGTCTCCTAGCCTGTGGCATATTCAATGTCAGAAAACTTTGCAGGTCCCTGATACGACGTGGGTAGGCTATTCGTACATCTCAGAAAATTTCAGCTAGCACTACCCTTGTCCGTACATCCTGTGGACTCATCAAGAAATTTTGGTGCAGAAAGCTACCATTAATAAAATAGAAATTTCTCGTTCTATTCCGACAATCACCAAGCGCTCACTGCACTTCCCGAAAAATTAAGCTCGAAATGATAATGCTCCTCTTCAACAACTAGCTCAGCAGTGCATAGGGCAGAAAAATCATGAGAAACGGCAGCAAGCTCTTACAATAATGACCATGACCTTGTATTTGATAACCAAAATTAACAGAGGATCCGTAAATTCTTCCAATCATATGTGTGTGAAAAAGCGTATCAATTTCTCGGCTCCGCTACTACAATGACTTTTCATAGGCAATTTATCCTTAGGTGCACTCACAACGCACCTGCTCAGCTGGAAGCGTTACAACCCCAGAGAGGGATTCTAACTTCGCTTTCGATGGACCTATTCGTTAGCCTATGGAACGGTGCAGAAGTTGAGAAGGAAATAAGACATATAACTCCGGTTCTGATACTGTAAGCGAGACCATCTTCGGTCCGTCTGCGAATTCAAACCAGGACATTGAGGCCCATCGGTAGCAACCTGAGGTGGTCAAGCTTTTGATACATGATCAAAACAAGCTCGTCCAACAAGCGCTCCTCGATACATTACTACAAATTGTCCAGGAAACTAACTGCCAGATTTTCTGGCTTGCTTGCACACCGAACGCTGCACATTCAACTCACAACCGATTCAACTCAGTGACTCTTTCGCCTGCAAAAATACCAGAATAATATCAAAGACGAAACGATCAGGACCTAATCTGAAAATAGCTGCAGATAGCTCACAGACGGTTTAGTGGACACAGAAAGTCTTCATAGGACCACTGATATAAAGGCTATCGCTGCAGTGTAGAACAGCCAGCATGGAGTACAATCATTTTTCCCGACCAATGAACTGCTTCCAGTGCTGGAAAATGCCTCGCGATAGAACAACTATTTTACACAACACATCGAGATGAATAAAACGTAACGTGACTACATGACGATGTCCACGAACAAACCATCCACCAGTGACCTCGAAACCTTTTCTAACCCTCACGCCAACAATCCCGGTACCATCACACAACATTAAACTACTGACCTTAAACCATCACAACAGCATCACGTTTCAGTTGCGCAGTCAACAAAACGCCTCTCCACGGGAAGGGAAAAAAGACTTCAATCAGCATCACACGATCGTCCAAACTACACGTAGCCTTTGCCGTCTCTCGACACTCAACTAACACCGCTCCGGCGCTGATCCTCACAACTACTGACTTCACCTGAATCGAGGCGAGACTCAATTACAGTACGACCTACAATCATATACATTAAACGCCGACACTCAATCAGATGCCGGCACATGAACTCAACCAACGTAGTTTGGCTGAGCGCTGGCTGGCTGGCTATCGAGGAGGTGTGTTAGTAAAAGGGAGAGAGAGAGAGAGAGAGAGGAAAGAACGAAGGAGCGATTACGCAAGTGGGAAGCGAGGGGAGTTATTGATCATATTGTACGATTGGGAGCAGGCGTAGTAGGGGGAGCCAGCCGGAGGTCCCGACGTCCGTTGGTATGCTGCTGTCAGCCCTTGCTGCAGATAACCACAATACAGGCTCTTCCTCCATGGGGTTGCAGCAGCGAGTTGCACAGCTCCTTCTTCGTTTTGTGCTTGCGGGGCTATTGCTACCACTATTCCTGCCAATTCCCTCCCACAGAGCAGCTACGGCTGCTGCTGCGTCGTCCTGCTTGGGGTGGCAGCACTCTTCCCCAGGCCCCGCTGCAACAAAGCATTCACCACTCGGGGCTTTCGCATTCACACCCCCCCCCCCTCTAGGCCCGGCCGGGGGCCAGTGAGGTAGCCGGCGAAAGCCTTGGACGAATAAATGAATGAATGACAGACCCCGTCCTTATTTGGATGGATTGATGGGGCGGATGGACGAGCCTTCTTGCTTCTCAAGCGAGGATGCCGGTAATTTGGGCTTCAGCTAATCCTATTCCCTTCGCCCACGAGTTACTTACTGCTGTGGCATAGTCACGCGTGGTACATTTCAACGACGCTAGTTTAGTAATAATAATCCTGCCAAATTATCCTTACATTAATTAATAAAACCCCATGCCATACCAGTGTTTTTCTTTTCGCTTTCTTCTTTTTCATATTCTGAGGAATAGTTTTCTGGTGTGTGAAAATATCAATTGATGATTTGAGTCACTCTGGTTTCTTACAAAAATATTATCTGCTGAATTGTGCATTTTAATTTAGTGCTAATGCTAGTGAACACCCTAACAACTGAAAATAAAATAAAATAAAATAACATAAAATCTGGGTTGCATCTTTGCATTGTTTTTTCCCGTCTGAATTGAATATGATTACTTGACTTTCAAAGGGGAATGAACACAGTTAGGTTCACATAAAAACTTAGTTGTTGGATTCTTGCAATAGAAGCAGTTGCTATCACAAGAAAACTAAACTCCAAGAAAGGATATCTATATATATACATATGTAAGAGATCATTGTTGTGTGGCCATAATTAATGAGGTCTTCAAGATACCATCATCGTGGATGAAGGACCTTTTTATTTCATAATCACAGGTACTTTCTTTGGAGCAGGAGACCAAGGTTGATGAGATGGGTATTGAAGAGATTGAACTATCTAATCAAGTGAACAGCAAGTCATACATGCATACCTATATGGCCCATTCCTCTCATTCTCTCACAATCTGAAATTTAACACCCATTTTCTTCTCCTTTTTTCCCCTACTCTTAGTGCTAATCAGCTTACTCAACTACCCTACCTTTGCAATTCATAAACATGTAGAGTACAAAAGCATTAGACTTGGTGGTACTATACTGCCATCAAAGAACCTCACATCAGCAGTAGTGCCATGAGATTAGGTTGATCAGACCAGGCCTTACCCCACAAATGCAAAAAGGATGATGTAAACCTTGCAGTACCATAACTATCACACTGTCTAGTCATATTCTTTTTCATTGGTACTTTACACACATATTTATTTTATTGATTTTGATTTTTTGGTTAATTCTCAAATTTACTATTTGTCAGCCTTTTTGCTGTCATTCATTCATCCATACAAAGCGTCATCTATGGTTCCATTAAATATAGAGGCAATCATCTCTGCCACCATCTTACATGAGGCAGCAGGTTCTTGTCTCTATTGGAGCCTCTACAGTAGTACACTTTGAAATTCCTGAGCCCCACTCTCTAGGGCCTGCTTACCTGACTCGTCTGTCTGCCAGGCCCACAAAGCCATCTCTATGGAGAAGCAGGTAGTTGAGGACAGTGACCTTTTATGAGCTCTTTTTTATATATTATCACAGGGTGAATATTTGGCATCAAACCATTTACAGAACAACTGTTCATAGGGATTCACTGAAACATTTTTAATCTCAACTCATCCACACCCTGCTCTCTCATGCTTGTTGTGCATCACTGAGCCAATTGGCCCCAATTTGTTGTCCACTTAAAATGCTAATTAAAGATCCAATATGATTCTGTATATATAGATATATATATATATATATATATATGTACCCAGTCTCATTCATGCAGTTTATGTGGCTTTTGTTCCATTTTAAGAACAAATAAATTTTACCCAAATTTTCAAGATGTTGATGTACAAGCCTTGTTTCTCATATCCTGTTTGATGGTTATGTGGATGCTTCATTGAGGTAAATTGAAGCCACTTGATGAAATTGATATCAGCTTTTTTACTGCTGAGATTTCTTGTGTTCATGGTATGGTTTAGGAAGACGAGGAGAATATGGGATGTTTGGTTGTTTGCAATATTTTTACATGATTTATATGGTTCAACAAATTTGGTTTTTGTCTACCCAAGTAGCTTTGTTGTGTTGTAAAAGAAGAAGAGTGGCTGTGGAATAACATGGAATCTTAAATGAACTGAAATGAATAATGCTTGAAGTTCATTACATTTTGAAACAACATAACACATGCTGTGACTGATTTTTATTTTTTTCTTCAAATAACAGCAAAAATCAAATCTATCATGTAAATAATCATCTTTTCATCAAAGGTTTTGTTGATGTACTCAAAAGACCATGATTGATGGTGAGATACAGATTTATTAATAGATTATCATTCTATATAATAATAAATAAATATTTACAAATCTTACTTTCATTAATTGAAAATATATGTAATATCAATTAAAATAATTAAAGCCTTTTTTTCTGTGTATTCACAATTTGACTTCTTGAAAACCTGAATAGAGATCAATAATATCCTGATATATTCATGCTGTGAATTTTATTGCATGCATGAGCACTATTTGAGAAAATTGAGATTGTAATATTCTAAATTTTTTAATTAAAATAGGAATGAAGATTTAGTTATCTCAATGAATTGATGCAGACGATATTCCATATAAGGGGGAACCATTACCTTTTGCATAGATTTTATTTATTTATTTCAATAAAATCAAGCTGTAAGATTTCTTTTGGGTATTATTTCAATAATTACCCACAAAATTTTTATTTTTCATTTTCAATAAGTCATAGAACCTAAAATTTGTATTTAAATTAATCAAAATCAAATGACGTACATTTATAAATGATAAATCAATTACTGGATTACTGGTAAACTTCAACAGAGTAAGAGGGTTTCCTAAATTAACCTCAGGCGAATGTCAAAGAAATTCAAACATTGATCAAGTTGGTTTTTGTGTTGTATTCTTATATGAATGACTTCTAAATAAAAAAAAATGAAGGTAAAAAATTCATGTGTATCAAAAAAAATTCAATTCAAACAAACGTCATCTGTATCACAATTTATAATCTCAATATGGATATCAATGGTACAGAACAAATTCATAAAAATTAAAAAGAAAAAACATCAATTACACAAAAAAAATCATTTAAAGAAGAAAATAAAATTTGATCATATGTATATATATATACATGCATTGAAGATACCATCTAGATATAAAAAAAATAAAAAAAAACCAAAAAAAACATTGCAACGTCAAGAATAAATGTAGCTCCAAGGTTCTTCTGTATTTAAAATAATTGAAAAACTAAAAAAATATTTTTATAGCTTTTGATTTTTTTTTTAACATGATATTTACACAACTATATATATATATATATATATATATGTATATAATGATAGATTTGTATGTGTTGATGGGATTGTAGATGCCATTCTTTTTATGAGTTAATCTAAACTAGATTTGAATTATCATTGTTTGGGTGTTAAATTAGTAAATCTCATATAACACCAAAATATTTATAAATTTATTTTTATTATTTGATTAAACATGATGTGTGCATATATATATATATATATATATATAATATGACATTTAAAAGAGTTGTGAAGAAAAGAGTATACTTCATGACCTAAGAAACATAAACAGCTTCTATGCAAGAAAAATAATAGATATAATTCCTTCCTGGTCACAAAATTCATAGTTGTTTTTATAAAATTAAGTTTATGATAACATTATAAAATGCATTCTATATAATAACGCACTGTAAAATTAATATATTATAAACTTAATTTTACAGTGTTGTCACTGTAGACTTTGTGCATTTTATAAAATTAAGTTTACAATAATACAAATTTAATGTCAAAACAGATTTTTTCTTCCATCATTTAAATGAATGCAAAAAGTGTAGCTATTCAGTTCAAACAATAAAGATGTAGTCATCCAAAATTATCAAATGTGTGCAATATTTATAGATTCAACAAATTTGTGATTTTTATTTAGGAATTTGAAAATTTGGATTTATTTCATAATATATATATATATATATATATATATACACACACACACACACAATTAAGATCTGGGGTCAGTTAGCAACTTAGAGTAGAACTTATGGAAAGTTATAAGTTAGCAAGGAATAACTTAGCAACATAGAATTATGTCCATTCCATTGTTTTCCATAACTTTGCAAAGGTTATAATAACACAAATTCAAAAAAAATAAAAGATATTTATTAAATTATATTACATTTGTTTCTAATAAGATTAAGGTAATTCAATGTAAAAAAAATCTAAATAAAAGTAATTAGTATACAATAAAATTAAAATTTTATTTTTAGAATATTAGAAAATTCAAAAGATACATAAAATAACATAGTAAATCACACACACACACACACACACACATATATATATATATATATATATATATCTTTGATTATTTTTTTATTTTTTATTATATACATCTAAATATAGATTAATCAATTAATATGAATATAATCATCCTATGTATGTATATATATTTTTTAATTTCAAATATTTCTTTATTATTATAAGATTATTGTCTATGTCATTTAGAGAAAAAAACGTGTTCCATCATAAAATTGATAAAGTCTTGTATTTTATTATAAAATAGTATCCTGGATTCTTCTTCTTGAAGTTAATAATTTATTTACTAACATTAGATAATATGTATTTTAAGAGTTTAATAATGTTAAAATTTCAATAATTATGACTAGTATTAGATCATTGTCATATAATATTTTTCAATATTGTTTCACTATTTTTTTTTTTTCAATTTTATTTAGTCGTATTTCCATCAATTAAGTATTTTTTTAGAATCAAAACATGATATATACACTTCATATCGAAAAAAATCTGTATATTATTGAAATTTGTTGATTTGGTACAAATTTCAATTCGTTCCCTAATTTAGTTCATTTGGTTATTTTTTTTTAAGAATGAAAGTTCATCCTTGATCAAATAAATTGCAATATTTAAAAGATATAAATAATTTTTTATACAATTTTTTTGATATGAAAT